AGAGTCTCACTTTATCGCCCTAGGTACAGTGTCATAGCGTCAACACAGCTCACAGCAACCTCTAGCTCCTGGGCTTAGGTGATTCTCTTGCCTCAGCCACCCAAGTGGCTGGGACCACAGGCCCACCACAACACCCGGCTATTTTTTTGTTGCAGTTTGTCTGGGGCCAGGTTCAAACCCTCCGCCCTCGGTATATGAGGCCGGCGCCCTACCCACTGAGACACAGGTGCCACCCTACAGTTGATTTTTTTTTAATCTAGCAGACTTTTTAATTTCCTCCCGTCATTGCCAGGCTAATAATTCTTGCTACTGTTAGTGCAACTTTCTGTTCCATTCATTATCCATAATTTCCCTCTTTAATCGGCCATAAACTGGGAAATCGGATAGTCAGACTCATTATGTAAAAGTTATTGGATTCTGCTTAAGTAGAAAGGTCCTCATATAAGTAAAAGCAAGAGTTATGCTGGTGCTTATATTTTGGTTGCTTAGAGGGTTTTTTCTTTTGGTTCTTTCTTTTTTTTGAAACAGCCTCAAGCTGTCACCCTGGGTAGAGTGCCAGGGCATCACAGCTCACAGCAACCTCCAACTCCTGGGCTCAAGCGAGTTTCCTGCCTCAGCCTCCCAAGTAGCTGGGACCACAGGTGCCTGCCACAACACCTGGCTATTCTTTGGTTGTAGCCGTCATTGTTTGGTGGGCCCAGGCTGGATTCGAACCTGCCCGCTCAGGTGTATGTGGCTGGCACCTTAGCCTGTTGAGCCACAGGCGCTGAGCTTGGTTATTTCTTTATAGTTAGTGTTTGAGTTCACTTCAAAAACCCTAAATTTATGTGTGATATTAGAGTAATTGGAAATGCGATTAATTCACAGAGATATTCACAACTTTTTTGTTGTTGTTGTTTTGTTGTGTTCTTAGTCTTATTTTGTCGCACTCAGTAGAGTACTATGACATCATAGCTCACAGCAACTTCCAACTCTAGTACTCAAGCAATCCTCTTACCTTAGCCTCTTGAGTAGCTGAGACTACACCTGCCCACCACAAGGCCTGGCTACTTGTTTTTTTTTTAGTAGAGACTGGGTCTTGGTCTTGCTCAGGCTGGGACAGCTATTTTAAAGACTGTGGAGAACTCAGGAGATTTTTTTTGAAGTCTGCATATTTAAGCAGAAAAACTCATGTGTCAGGGTTTAAGAGCTTATGATAAGAAAGAGACATTTTCTTAGGAAAATTGCTCTATTTAAAAGAGTTTGGAAAAAAATTAAAAAATTAAGAGTTTGGAACCTATAGCAAAGCAGATAGGTACAAATTAGTATCTGCTTATGTTTTTCTGTGTTACAGGGAGAATCAAAGAACAGTTTGCCTGGGAGACTTAAAATCAGGAGAGAGATTATTGATTGGGAGCAGTTAATGATTCTGTCCCAAAAAGTATATTCAGAATTTGAAAAGAAATTTCAAACAGAATTTATTTATTAGTTTTGAACATATCTGAGAAGTTACCAGGGACTCCTAGACTACATATATATATACATATATATTTATTTATTTTATTATTTTGTATTTATTTATTTATTTTTGAAACAGTGTCTCAAGCTGTTGCCCTGGGTAGAGTGCTGTTGCATCATAGCTCACAGCAACCTCCAACTGTTGGGCTCAAGCAATCGTCTTGCCTCAGGTTTTCTACTTTTAGTAGAGATGGGGGTCTTGCTTTTGATCAGGCTGGTCTCGAACTCATGAGCTCAAGCAATCCATCTGCCTTGGCTTCCCAGAGTGCTAGGATCACAGTCATGAGCCACCGCACCACACCCAGCCCCTAGACTTTATTTTGAAACTCTGTATTTGCTCCTAGCAAATAAACAAACAATTTTTTTATGCCAAACTGCTTTAAGAAATAATCATGTTGGCTTGGCGCCTGTGGCTCAAGCAGCTAAGGTGCCAACCACATACACCTAAGGTGGG